TTTCAGGTCTGATTTTTTTCAGGTCTGATTTTCGCTATTGCATATATAGCGCTATCTACTGCGAGGATCGTGCATCATACATAAAACCAACTTACTTCAACATAAGATTCTTTTTTTTATTTTTCATTTTTTTAGTAAAAAAAATAATTGCTTGTAGGCAAGTAATTTTCTAAATATGTTTTAATGTTTTATATTTTTTTAACCTGTAAAATGTTCGAAAAACTTGCGTTGTCCTTCTTACAGGAAACCTACATTTCTTTTAGTGTATATTATAAATACTAGAAACAAGTCGGTAGTAATGGCCACCCTACCTGCTTGAACCAGGCCTTCACCATTCATGATCAAAATTCATACTCTCATATCCATACCGACCTTATATTACTCCTAACGATTTTAACCTGATGAACGTTTCTTTTTTCTCCTTTGTTATAAATGAGGATTAAAACTGGAATACAAGCATCGAGAAAAAATACTCCGTGTTTCGTCCAATTCACCAAGTAAGTGTCATCCCTGTTTTAAAGGAACTCGTTCATTTACTCTCTGAAAGGAAACATGCATGCTTTCATGATCGATCCGCAAGAGAAATACCGAAACAAATTCTCATGCACTGTAAAGAGTACAACCTTCAGGCGAGACAACGGAGAGGGTTACTCACAGTGAAAAAACCAAAATAATTCTCGAGGCTGTTGTCTAAAACATCAGAACTGGCTAGAACAAAAGTTTCGCCACGATTTTTGTCCCGTGAATACGACAAAAGGAAGGAAGCTCCTTGTCGAGTAAAACATAATCGCACAAGCATTTCCTTTGTTTTCTCGTTTCGAGTGTCTCGAAAATCAATCCGAGCCTCGATCCTCGAGGGGTTTTCGAGAAATCAAGGAGTTTCTAGGGGCTCTCAACTTACTCTTGCACAGTCCTGTAGTAAGTGTTCAGCTAATGTGAACGAAATACTCCACTCCAAGTTCTTTTGGGTCTAGCCTTTAGTAGGTAGAAAGTAAACTGCGCCAACTTCGTTGTACATATTCTGATGAACATACTGAATATTTGAGGCTAAAGGAAAAGTTAGCGGTAAAATTTTTAAGGAGTTTTTTTTTAGTTGAATTAACTTAATTGTACCGAAATTGTTGCTGTAACAATTATTTTACTTGGTGGACACCAGGAAGGTTGAAGAGGACATAATGTTAACAACTGCGAGGGTACATTATTTAATGCAAATGTACAGTATACATCAGTAAGACCTTTTCGTCATATTTAAAGCTATTTAAGTCGGGGCAATCGTGTCTAACACAACCCTGACTCTTAATGTAAAGGTAGCTCTACATATTTGTCAATTATGACGTCGAAGCATAAAATTCGTTAAAGAAAAGACAGAGGTAAAAAGGAAGGTGCTCTTCGGGAAATGAAAAGTTTATGGTAAGTTTTCGTTATCACAAAAAATTACAATGGTACATGGCGCTTCTACGCTAATTTGAAGAGGAAAAAGAAATTCAATTAATTTCTAAGGTGAGATGAATTTCTTCATGGGTGGGAAAATTCCCAAATTCATATTGCAGGATTTTGCCATCGTAAACACTTGCTATCTTTTTAGACATCACATGTGTCATATACATTGTGTAGTGAAATAGATAAGACTATCATATAAATGTAGCTGGCAGCGCATGTTGTTAATAAAGAAAGCGCTTTAAACAGGGAATGCATAAACAAAAGGGGTATTCAGGGAAAATTTTTAAATCAAGTTAAATTGCATTCATTTGATCTGATGTAGTGAACAGTGCTACAGAATAACATTGTACATACATTTAAGAGCTACGTTTAGGTTGTTGAATCGATTCCAGCAACACACACATTGAGCTTTGCCTTCTGTTTAGTCAAAATTGATTACTGACTTCGTGTTACAGAAAACGTGCATCACAGAAAAGTGTGTTTGGCACTGAATTTGTTACTTGTTCATTCAGTGTTAAATGTATAAGCTCAACAGGATTTATCAATAAAATAAAATCAATGTCATTCCCTATGGTGATGTTGTTTGAATGTGTTTCCCTTAATTTTAGTATACATAGATTATGTATGGGTTACAGAGAACTACACGTACATGTTTAGAATAATAACTGAGTGCCAAAAGTAATTCCGAATTGCTTTGTTTTTTCTTTACTTCACTCTGTGAATGGTCCACAAAACTCCCGCCACTCTCTCGACCAATCAGATGTTAAACTAAACCCAATCACAATTTGGTCACCCGGCGTGTTTTCCCGCGCTTTAGGCACTTGGTTGTTTTTACTTAAAGTTCCCATTGTCTCGTAAAGGTATTTCCTTTCTCCTGATTAGCTGTTGTGATTATTTTGGTGATGGCTTAACGACACTAAATCGAAAAGTGTCCTTTTGTTCACTTGGGGTGAGTTACATGTAGCTTTAATAGAAAGGGGACATTAGTTAGAGCTTGAAGTAGATGGGTTGCTCACTGGAGTGAGGAAGTAATTTTTTTCACGGAAAAACAATTCTCGTGCAGTTCGCAATTTTCAATTGCACGAAAAACCAAAAGGACTTGCAACCATATCAAATACTTTTCAAAGCTTTTCTTCCAACCACAGAACATGTATAAATATATATAGAAAATACATCAAGCTCTACATTTCTCCACACTGTGATATAACCACAGGTAACTTGGGTCTGTTGTTGGGTCCTGTGGGAACATTCTAGAGGATGATAAAGGACAAAGATAATAAGGGATATTAATCATTAGACTGAGCGACCTAAGTTCTATTTGGCAAGACAGAGAAAGGCTACACTTTGTTTCCACGAGATCTACAAGCAAAATAAAATAAGTTAATTTATATATTACAATATCCAGGAAGATTTATCCAGGAGAGTGGTAAGAAGGTATAACACTGACTAAGCCTTCATTTAATAGCAAAATGGTCTAGTGAAAATCAAGAACTGCTGACTTCTTTCACACGGACTACAAATTACACTGTGTACAGTTAACAGGACACTGGAATGGGATTTAGGTGATGAAGTGCATGGAATAAAATTTAGCAAAAATTTTGAGCTGGGAAATGAGATTTATTTCCTTCCTCTTCCCCTTCATCCTTTCAGGAAACTCTAAAATGTAAATGCAAGTCAAGTAAACTCGCAAAACTGTACAAAAACAGAAAATGTACCTAAAAGACACAAAATAAACAGTACCTCTATTTTTCTCATCACTAACAGTCCATCAATAACTTTCCCTGATATCAAAACAAAACTGGCTTTAAGATGCATTCTAAACTTTAAAACTACAAGGCTGAATACTAATTTCCTTACAGTTGTATAAACTTATGTGTAGTTAGAATATTGCTCCTTTAAAACCAACATTCCATCCATAGTTTTTTTTTTTGGAACACACAGTAGAATATGCAGCTGCATGAACAAAAGAAAACCTCCAATTCCTAGTTTACATTGTGTGTCATTCACTTTCTAACTATAACACAATGACTCTAAGAAATACACCTCTGTCAATGCGGAGGAACATGTGCAGATATCACACTCATAAACTGATATAAATGACACTATGTTCATTAATAAAACAGGAAAAAAGAACTTAATTTATGACATTGACCATCTAGAGATTCATATGTTTGTATTACATAATTACTTAAACATACCAAATACAACATGCTTCCCATCCAGAAAATCACACTTAGCACAAGTGACAAAGAACTGCAAGAAATTTTTTGGTGTATGACAAAATGCAAAGACAATGGTCTCCATTTACAGTTACTGTAGCTAGAAAATGTGCTCAGATAATTGTCTGTACACATTCTATGTTCTAAGAAGGGCACAGTTCTCAGAGAGAATTAGCTAGATGAAAACTGAGATGCACTCTATCAGAAGTATTCGACTGATAATTACTAAAATGCACCAAAACACAGCCTTACTTGTGATGCAAGTGTTAAAAAAGGCCTTTTTTAAAGAAAGGGAATTCTAATCTGCTTACAATTCTATGCTTACCTGACAGCCATTTGTGTTTGGACCACTGTTGGCCTAAAAATAAAGTTGGATCATTTAAATTAAGGAAGTCAAGAATGGACAGAGCTAGAAAACAAAGTACAATTGTGATCATCAGTGTAACACATTTGTATACAGTGTGTGACTGGATTAAAAGTTAATTAATTTTGATTTATATCAGGAACCTCTCATTCCTTGTCATGCACTTCTGAACATTTTTTCAAACTAAGATAGAGTTCATTTTAGATGAACTGATATTATAATTACTGCCACTGCTCATGGCTGCCAATTCCACATCCTGATTGCCATTATTATGAGTGAATATGTACTATGTTATCATAATCATAGTACTCAATAATTTTGGTTTTATTTGTTAGTTGATTAATATATAAATTAGCCACTGTAATGCTTTCAAAGCTAACGTTTTGAGCATAATAGCCCCTTGTCGGACCAAATGGAGGAACATGAATTAAGCAGTATTATCATTGCTATCATTACTATTGAAGTATTGCTAAAATAAATGCACAGAAAGCAAGATGCTGTTTATATCTCAGTCAATGAACTCCTGCAGAATCATATAAACTTGTTGAAACACACTTACCATTGAGAGGAGGCCTGGTGAATCATGTTTTATCTTGAAATTTTCATCAGGGTATGCAACCTCCCCATAAATACTAAAAACTCCTGTGCCATCACCCTTAAGTAAAAAATAATGTGCGTGACAAAATGGAATGCATATAGAACACGTGTGAGAATGAAAGGACAGACAACTGCAGGACAAAGCGAATTGCCCCCTAAATAATAAATGTCTCTCTACAAGCCTGATCTACAAGGCCAACGTCACAATGAACAACGACCCCAGTGGAAAATACTTCATAGGTCTCACAGAGGGTACATTTAAATGCCGCTACACCCAACACACGCTTCCTTTCCGCGACCTTAAGTACTCCAACTCCACCAAACTATCAAAACACATCTGGGAAACAGCAAAAAAACCTACTTGATTCACTGGCCTATTCTCTGCCACGCTCCTGCCTACTGTAACAAAACTAAGAAATGTAATCTGTGCCTCACAGAAAAAGTCTGCATCCTTCAAGCTGACAAAAATACTTTACTCAACATGAAATCTGAACTAGTTTCCAAATGCTGCCACGAAAACAAATTCTACCTATCGAACTTTAAAACTTAGCTTTTATTCACTTTCAGTAGAATTACGTGTCACTAATTATAGGAACTAATTTTCACACTGCCTAATTATAGGAATTAAGTTTCACACCGCATAAATAGCACTCTGTATATAAAAAAATTTAGGTATATCTTTCATTGGAATAACCACCGTCTGATGATTGCGAAAGCATGAAACTACATGTACGAGTCACGGAAACTTTGTTTCGTTGTTGACTTTACTATTTCTAGAACACATGTGATATATGCATCTATGACCTTGAACAGAACTTTTTACAACCCTTGCATGCTGAGAGAGTAGGGGGTTGCCATGTATCTGGCAAAAATATCCTCACAATCGGTATATGTAACTACACTATACTGTAGGGACTGGCTACAAACATTTGATGCTGATAATTTTCTCACTTCATAAATGATTGTTTCTTTTAAAAGCTCTGAGTAAGTGACACAGATTCAGGATCCAAGCATTACCCAGCACTTACTTTGACAAAGTCACCACCTTGGATCATGAAGTCTTTTATAACCCTGCAAATTAAAAGCAAAGTCTTAAAGAAGCAATTAAAGTATAGAGAAGTATCATTGGCTAGTGCAATATCCAGGGTGTATACCAACACCAAAATTATTGCATTTTTGAGTACATGTAGTACAGACATTCAATGTTTTGTTCTTAAATTCTGAAAAAAAATTAAAAAAAATAAAAGTTGACTTTGTAAATTACCAACTTTAACAATTCTTCATGTAATTAAAATTATAACACACCTGTGAAAGGAAGCTCCTTTGTATCCTTGAGGTATTCCGTCTTTTCTATGAAAAAAAGGACAAAATGGGAGTAGTTATTAAGAGAAAAGAAGATTTCTGAAATTTATTTGTATATGGAATTTACCTTTTTGTAGAACTGAAAATCAGAGCCTATATGCACTCAACTTTTTGATCAATCAATCAGAGAGACATTGCTTAGAGTACAATGTGTGCAGTATTTCCAGTTATTTCTTAAAATTAATTCAAGTGAAGCAGAGGAATAGTCTCTAAACATTGTTTTACCTGTATTCTCCTGTACACAGTTGTCTGAAAATAATAATAATAATAAAAAAAAAATTAAATAAGTATAAGGACTTTCGCCAAAAAATATTGTGGAGAACTTTTTTGACTGAATGTCCTTGGAGCACTTTTTCAACTGAATGTCTAGTGCAGAATGAACAGCACATTCTTGGAATCTACCATGTTGTGACTGAACAATTGGACACTGATTAGTTTTTATAAAAACTGTTTCTCTTATTTGTAAAGGTATCTTCTGCTTCAACTTAGGATTTGCATAAATCGAGGACAAAAGAACTTGGTCAGTCAACAAAATTTTATACAGACATATAATCCAATTAATTTCAAAGAAGGGGGAGTAAGTACATTTACAAACATGTTAGGAGAGGCATTAGAAGCTTAATTTTTATTTAATCAGACAAGAGTCAAAGCCTTTGTACAGCCAACAGTCACCCCTACCTAAGAAAAAAATTGGGAAGGGCCCCTTCCTGATTTTGTTAAGGGTAGAGGGTAGGCTGTATGCAAGCTATTGTACATCAGGCATTTTAAAGTTTCAAACATCTTGCTTTCCATGAGACCCATTTAAAATTTCTGTATGAATTTGTGCTATTTTCAAGCTGTTTCCTCTTTCCAAAAACAAGTAAAGACACAAAACTCATCAGAGTAAAGGCTATTTAACTTAAAAATGCTCAGACTATGCCACATATTTCTGTAATTAAAGCTGCATAAGTCATTTCTACTACTTGACTGTACTGTTCTGTGATCATGTTGAGGGATTGCAGGACAGTGCCAGGGCAAGAAACTTCTTTTTCTTCTTCCATGCAAGAGCTTAGGAGCAGTGGATTCTCTTCCATCAAAGTATAGGGAAACTCGAAATCTACTCCAAGACAATAATTAATTAACCACCTCATATTTTCTGCTGTTTTTGGTACAACATCTGCAAACAGCTCCATTTTCATTCTTCCTACCTCCTACAATTTGGAATAAAAGGAATGATCACAAAATAATAAATATTGGAATGGTATCAAACCTATATCAAAAACTCCATTTTCCAAATAGAAAAATTAATAATTTAAAAAGGAATTATTGAGCTTTTCAAGGTAAAGAAAATTTTCTTAAGAAGAAGTGATTTAGAAAAACATTTAATGGTAAAAAAATTGTTAAAAAATACTTCTTAAACCATTAATATGATACATTTTAAAAAGGGCTGAAAAAAAACTGGTAGACAGGTTGATGTCAACTTTAACATAATGCCATAATCAAGTCAAAAAGAATGATAAACTAAAATAACAATAGGCACTGACTGAAACATTTCAAAATGAATAAAAACTATAAAAAAATGCAGTAAAATACTTTTAAAACCATTAAGGTACATTTAAAAAAAGGCTTAAAAAAAGCTAGCCAATGATGAGTAACATAATGCCATTATCAAGTAAAAAAGAATGATAATTATAACAGAACCAAAGGAAAGCCTCCCGGTTAGCTCAGTGAGTTAGAGCACCAGATTGTGATGTGTGGGAGGTTGAGGGTTTGAGCCCCAGCTGGACCAATACTCATGGTCTTAAAATAACTGAGGAGAATTTGCTACCTTTCTAGAACAAGAAATGGATAGATATTCTAGTCTTCTCGAATAAGGATGAATAAACCATAGACCCCGGCTCCTGCAGGGTTAGGGGTAGGAGATGTTAATTTCCCGTGCACGAGATTACTGTGTGGTGGATGTCCTCCCCTGGGGTGGGATGGGTGGGAATTATATCAGCTGAAGATGGGCTGTACTGCCCTTTGTAAATTAAACATTTAGATTTAGATTTAGAAAGCAAACCCTCTGATTGGTCAATTCAGCGTCCATCATTTGCCTATGCGTGTATGCTGCTGACATGAGCAAATGCAAAGACTAGTTGTCTGTGCATGCTTGTTTTTTTCTAGTCAAGTAAGATTTGTTAAATAAAAGAAAACTCTCTTGCTACAATGTATCAATGTTATGTCATAGAACAAATAGTAAATGCCACAGTGTACGCTATTGAGTTATGTATGCACCTGGGGGGTTTGCTAAGTACTCAAGAAACTAGAGTTGCTCTTGGCTATCACCTTGCCTGACTCTTATGCTTCTAATGTGCTTGGCAATCTCCCACGTGCATACATAACTCAATAGTGACACTGGTGTTTACCATTTGCTAAGTTTAAGAGGCATTAAATACTAAAATAACAACAGAGACTGATTAAAACCTTAAAACAATAAACAACTTTAGAAAAAAAAACAACAACAACAACAACAAACAAAAAGTTTTGCACCATGAAATCTGCTTGCACGCTCAACTTCGGTTTGAGTTTCTTGATAAATAGCATTTCAAGATTATTATTTAGAATTAAAATCGTCATAAAATACTTAACACCATTAAGATTTGTTTTATCATTCTTTTTCACTCGATAATGGCTTACGTATACGTCGAAATGGGTTTAGAAGACTACAGTATTAATAGCAATTTTTTATCATCAAAAGATTATTTTTAGGAGAATGAATTTTGATTGAGAAACACCAAATTTAGACTACTGCGTTAATAATGGCTGAAACACTTGATTCGCACATCAGTTGTGCATTCCTCTAGATATACAGCACTTGGACAGCTTGGAGAGCAATAGAGTAGCTTACAGTATGTAAGCTGCTCTCAACTTGAGCAACTCTTACTCATCTTTCAAGCTCTCTAAATTTCCAGTTGCTTCCTAAATCTGGATTCGCCCCCAGCTACGCCTCAATAAACTCTCACGCATCCTTCGTGCTCTCCAAATTTCCTGTGTGCACCATATTTTCACATCTTACGTACTTCCCAAACTTTCCGCGTGCTTAAACATGCAACTGTATCCCAATAAACCACTGGTTTGTAAGTCCTGCACTCGGCCATGATGACCATCAGAAGGAAAAAATAACAAATATAAAATCGAAGTAACATTACCTGTCCTCCTATGGATATATCAAAGAAAACAACTGGATTTGAGGGATTTGAAGCACCCGTTGAAGACGATGCAGCCGCCATCTTTGAAATGAACTAGGAGGAATGGGGAAGAATGCCTGCTTCCCTAGTCTCCAGTCTTTTGCAAAGCAAACATTATCCCCACTAGGGCCTGGAGAGATTTTCGGAAGCTGAAGAAATCTACACTCGTTACGCTTAGATGTCCTAATTACAAGAACTAGTGGTGTGTATAAATGAGTTTTTTAGTTTCAATTTAACGTATAGTTTTGTGTTTTGAATGGTTGACTAGGTCAATTTTGCTAAGAAATATTTTTAGCCAGGGTGGGGTAGGAGGAGGGCATTAGCATCTAACATTCTTAGCGCAGGGGAACCGTATTTTTAAATACACGTGATTCGAGCAGAAGCCTGTACCCCTTACAAATCACGCGAAGTTGCTGTGGTTTTCATCGTGGTATCTTGGCGAAGTACACGCAAGGAGGAACCAGGTAGGGAACACGATGTTTCCTCGAAAACGCATTTACTTTGGCTCCCTTGCTCATTTGTCTGTTTTTTGTTTTGTGTTAGGGCAGTTCAATTAGAAACATATTTTTAAACTTAGATCTAGCCATAGTTAGTAGAGAGGAACTTCTAGCACAGGGACAGTGATAGGAAAGGAAATTGCGCAGCTTTCCATCAAAAAGCTCAACACTGGAATATTATGGCACTAGATATGAGCTTGAATGGATTCAATTTAATTTTAGGAACAATGTACTAATTTATTTTAGCGTGTAATTTCGCTTGGATAGCCGCAGGATTGTTATACACGCCTGATTTGCTATTGTATAAATATGTCAACTAAAACATGTCAATAAAACACCTTCATGTCAACGATATTTTATCGTAAAGGTAAAACAAACATGACTTTGCAAACATAGCCGTGTCAATTTTTGAATCCCGACAAATCTAAAAGCGCGCCATCACTATTGGATGAGAACCTGTGAAAAACCTGTGAACAACGTGTGAAATATTATCTGACACTGAAACACCCTGTGAAAAAACCTGTGAATTTTGCAAGGGCTAAATTTTGGTGAAAAATCACAAAATTTAGAACCTATGAAAAAACCTGTGAATTTTAAGAACTGTGAAAAAACATGTGAAAAAACATGTGAGCAAAATTTGAAGAAATTTTGCTTTTAAAACCTGTGAAAAACCTTTGAAAAAACACGCGAAAAATGGTATTTCACAGGTTTTTTCACAGAAAAATTCAAAGGTTTTTCACAGGTTTTTCACAGGTTCTCATCCAATAGTGCATCCTACATGTAGATGTAAGCCGATATCGATCGGTTTTGCACCTTTTTCAACTCCAATTCGCGAAATTCGATTCTAAGAAGGCACAATTGAAAGAATGTACTTATTTTGCGTGGATGCAGCCCATGGAAGGGCTCTAACGAGCGAATTGCTAATGTTAAGTTTAAGCCAGTAGGGTAAACTTTACCCGGTGGTAAACTGAAAGAAACAAAGCACACTGATTGGTCAATTCAGGTAAAAACAGGGGTTTCAATAACATTAGTTATAAGCGGCCACTGAAGGTTTCATAGGCAGCTGTGACCACTAAAATCACTTTGTATTTTCATTAATGAAATCCAAACAGACAGCAGTTAGGTCCTAGGGCGGCGGTTAAGACTGCCGGTAACCAGTTTTTATTGAAACCCCTGGTAAAATTACCCTCATCTGGAAAATGTTTTATTACATATTGTTTTTGGTAAGGGCACAATGTTTCAGACATGTGTTAGTTGTATTTCGTGTTTGTGTTTCTCACAAAATATAATTTTGTCTGAAAAGACTTTTGAAGACTAAATATGCTTGAGGTTATGATAATTAGTTTACGATGATATCTTACACTATCATGTCAGATTAGCTCAGAGACAAAAGATGATAAAAGAGATTAAGAAGGACAATACAATGACAAATAGTGATGTGGCAATTTCATATGATTCTAATTTTTTTCAGAAACAGAAAATGAATAGAATACAGAATGGCTGGTTTTCTGAAGTAAATGACCAGTGGCCTGGCCAAGCACTTTCTCTTGAAGTAGAGGAAATTTTATTTGAGGGAAAATCAAAATATCAGGACATTCTTGTGTTTAAAAGGTATGTTTTGAAACCGTTACAAGTTACCATTTGCAGTTGACAAACACTGCATACATGCTTATCCACTGATTGCATTAGTCAGGTTTCTTGGATAGATTCATCCCTTAAAACTAAACCTTATACTAACCACACAAGTTGGTCAGTTGGTCAGTTAGTCAGCCACTCAGCCATCAGTCAGTTATTAAGTCATCTGATCGAACACCATTAGTGTGCAACTCAGAATTCAGTTGATCAGGGAGTAAGTGTATGTTAGAAAGATAGCCTGAGTCAGTCAGTTGGTCAGCCAGCCATTGAGTCAGTCAGCCAGCCACTGAGACAGTCAGCAAGCCACTCAGTCATTCTGCCAGTCATTCATTAACCTAATTTTCTTAATATGAGCTTAGTGACTCGTCTTTCAGTTAATCAGCATTGCTTTTAATTACAATTTTTTTCTTTTCATTTTTATTACATTTACCTGTGACCTTTCCGCTAAAAGAGCTCTTGATTTAATAAATAAACAAACGCACAAACACAGATGTCTTTTCAACCTATAGCAAGCATCACGGCAAGGTTCTTGTACTGGATGGAGTTATACAATGCACTGATAGAGATGAGTTTTCTTATCAAGAGATGATTACCTTCCTTCCACTTAACTCGCATCCAAACCCTAAAAAGGTAAAATGTACCAATTTGAACTACGTATTGTTAAATGTCTGAGTAAGTCACCAGTTTGGAAATCATGGTGAAGTCTTAATGAAGTTTGATACTTTTACTAATCCACAGGTTCTAATCATTGGTGGAGGTGATGGAGGAGTTATAAGAGAAGTTTCAAAACATCCAGCTGTGGAGTCCATCGTTCAATGTGAAATCGATGAGGTGGGTAAAAAAGTGGTTGTAAAACCCATAACTTGTAAGATTGTCATGGTCTGTTTATCAATCGTTGCCAGTTCCACTCAAATTGTCCAATCGGCCCTTTTATGTTCTGTGCTGATGTTAGGGTGTAAAAAGTTGATCAAAGATGTTTGGTAATTATCATTACAATTTTTTGTTGTTAGCATTGTCGCCATTGTCCTTCCTAAATTTTTGCTTATTGGTGTTTTTGGTATTAAAATTGTCTCTGTCAATAATGATGATCACGCGTGTCATCATCATCATCATCATTGATTTTTACTATGTGCATACCAAACTGAGACAGTAAGTTTGATTTGTTTTCATTTTTTCCCTGTAGGAAGTAATCGAAGTGTGTAAAAAGTATTTACCAAATATGGCTGAAGGTTTTAGCTCCCCCAAATTAACTCAGCATATAGGAGATGGATTTGACTATATGAAGAAGCACGAAAATGAATTTGATGTTATTATTACAGATTCTTCAGATCCTGTAGGTATGTAATAATAGCTAATAGCTTGTTTACTACTATCTTTTTGTTTAGATACTTACAATATTTCCTTAAGTAGGGGGTCCTATTGTAATGAGTGCTGCCCTCCCAATAAGTGCCCACCCCCCCCAATAAGCCATAATATCAAACAAACACCTATCTTGAATAAGCACCCCCCCTTCCTCCATCACTTTCTCAGTGAAATAGTCAAGACACAAGGAAATCTCCTTCTACTGCCACTTTATTTATAACTTTCTAAAGTTTTAAAACTACATTGGAATCAGTGCAGATTGAAAGTTTGTTAATGTGTCCTTCCATTTAGAACCCTCCCTCCTTTTTAAGCACCCCTCCTTTAAAGTGCACCTAAACCCCCAAATGTTTTTTTCGCTCAACGAAATAAGCGTATTTTTTTGGAGTATTTCTGTGCAATTTTTTTTTTTTATTTGCTCAAATCTTCAATTTTCTGTGCCCAGTCAAAATACGGAAAATCGGCCGCCATCTTGGCTCATGACCGAGTTTAAAGAGGAATGTTTCTAGTGGGTAATGTGACGTCAAATCGAGAACACGAAAGTCTGAATTTCACACATTGTCACTTGTTTAGGAAGGTTGTAGTCGATATTGTCCGAAAATGTGCCGACTAAGTGTGTTGTAGGAGGATGTAGCGACGTGCGAAATTTGCAAGAGGGTATCGCGCTTCATACATTCCTCATACAACACACCTAGTCGGCATATTTCGGACAATATCGACTACAACCTTCCCAAACAAAGGAAAATGCTTGAAATGCTGATTTCATTAAGTGGAAAAAAAATGGGGGTTTAGGTTCACTTAAAGCCAAAATTTAAAAAAAGTGCCTGCCTAGGCATTTATGACAAAAAATATATATGGTATTTATGTATCTGTATGACTAAACCCTTTAATCTCCCATCAGTGACTGAGACAGAATTTCTCATTACAATATCAATGCATTATCAAGCAGAAAAATATGAATTAGGGGATTATCAGTTGGTCCAGTATCATTCATTCATATGACTTTCCTGTTCAATGCTAGAACTGACAATGCAAAGATAAACTACATTATGATTGAGTGAGGAAGGGCCGGTGAATATCTTAATTTTTTTTTTTTTTTTAATTGATATCCATACCTAATTTTCGCTTTTGTAATTTCCTTCCAGGTCCTGCAGAATCTCTGTTTCAAGGTCCATACTATGAGCTTATGAAAAAAGCACTAAAGCCAGATGGATTATTATGCTGCCAAGGTACTAACCACTTAATGTTTCGTTTTGATAATTGGAACTTTTCGGCCGCTTTAATGTGTATTAGCGCGCGTTTAATATGCAGTCATGTAATGTGCATTCGAGAGATCCTGGGAACTGTAGACTGTCTATTTGTCAACGACATTTGCCGTCACTCCGCCGAAAAGGAAAGATGGCTTTCCTCGACTCCTAAGGAGGAATCGAATCCTTGACTTCCGGATTTGCGCTTGCAGTTCTCCACTGCTGAGTCGTAGAGAATCTTTGGTGAGGTACAGAGGGGCCATGACTGGGTTCATATGCGACACGCGCACTACGTGTAATGGGATAAGCGATGCAGTCAATGTGCGTAAATGAAGTAGGAAAGATAGTAACATTTTGAGTTCGGTAATCAAACAGACGAAGATGGTTCTTTTTTATTGACACGAGCGTGGGACAAAGACAGCTGGCAGACAATCGACAGAGGCACTCGAAGATCGAGACTTATGATGGATGTGAAGTGCTGTTTTATTACCCTCCCTTATCGCATTGGAAAGGTGCTGAGTGGCTTTCAAAACGGAATTTACTTAGTGAAAAAGACGATTAGATATTTATCAACTCCTAGTCTTTTATATCGGTGTATCTGCCTTAAGCATATTCATCTCTTTTGATATGGATTAAATTGGTCGAGATTCAATCATATCTAAAAGCATAACAGACTGTACGTTTTACGTTCAAACCACTGAAACTAAGCAACGCCTATGTTTTTTATTCTCACAGGTGAATGCATATGGCTTCATATCCCTTTAATCAAGACGGTCTTAGAGCTCTGTAGAAGCTTATTTCCTACAGTCAGTTATGGTTACACAACAATACCTACATATCCAAGTGGACAGATAGGATTTGTACTGTGTAGCAAAAATAAGGTTGGTAATACCTTGTGACAGACTTCAACATCAGTCTTTTCTTAGGCTGGGGGTCGACGGAATTCGCTAAATGGGTAGAAAAAATGGATGTGAAAAAGACGATTTCTCTGGAAACCGAAACACAAGATGGGGTTGGAGATGGGAGAGAAGTGTATCCAAGCCACATTTAAAAAGTATAAAAGTGCATTGGATCATGTGCTTTTAAATATCAACCCACTTATCCTGAACAACATTTTCCTAAAGAGAACTCAAATTTACAAATACAAACAAAAACGCAAACAAAAACAACAACAATAACGACCTATAGGGACAATAAAACAGAAAGAAAGCAAAGTAGACCACGAGAGAAAACGAGGCTGTAGCATCTATTTCTCATCGCATTGTAGGAAACTAAGTTTGATAATCCTGTCACTGAGTTTACCGAGGACCAACTTGAGAAACTGCAACTGGGATACTACACTGCTGAAGTTCACAGAGCCGCTTTTGTTTTACCACAGTTTGCAAAAAAGGTTCGTACCCTGGCTTCCTGTTATTGTCCTTTCCTCTCACCTCTTTTTCTTCTTCTTGGCTAGCAAATACCAGTTTGAAAATGTGATTATTAGATTTTGCTCTCCCGATTTCAGGCGCTTTTGCTATGACACCCACACGATGATAATGGAATAAGTGTTCACCAGCCGTTAGTCTCCGCAGGATGCACTAGCCACAAAGAACAGTGAACAAGATATTTATATGACCCAGTAAGATAAAATACAGTGCAGCTCAAAGACAAGGAGGTCACCGATGAGTTGCTACTGCTGTTAGACAGTCTAAGGCTGTGTTGATAACAATCTTGATCTCCGAATGCTCCTTATGACGTCATTCAAGGTCTACTTCCAAGGTCTTGGAGTATAGAGATCAAATTAATGAATTTTTCTTTTTTTCTCCTATTTGGTTAGTTCTTCCTTAAATTGTAATTTGTTTGTTGGATTTTTTGTTTCGTTTTGTTTTCGTTTCTACCTGAGCTACCGTTAGCGACAGTGGCTGGCTTCTTTACAAAATTGATGACGGTTTTTGCTTTGAGATTGGTGATAGTGGCTGGTTTAGCGTGGTCTGTACTCTTTTCGACAACGATATAAATTCTGACCACACAAACGGGCTACCTCCTCATTTAAAATTTGCATAGCCGCCCGAGCAAGTAAGCGAAACTTATCCACACTGCTTCCATTGTTGCACCGCAAGGAGATTGGGGATTAATTTTGCGACCCGACAATGGACGCAGAGTGAGAACTTGCCCGTAAACAACCTCTTTGTCTCGTCCTCGCACGATTCCCGCCGCACTCAGTGCAGTTGAGTCGCAGTGATAATTAATTCTTCTGTAGCAATCTCATGCGCTGCTGTAATGTATGCAGTTTGAATAGCAAACTACTCGTAGACCCAGAGGAGATAGTGGAAGGCTAACCATAGGTTTTTAGGGAAAAAAGCTGTCAAAATATTTAATTATCCATTCTGGTCCTATGTACTGGAGCCTCTTTAAGGCCTTGTTATTTTAGGTTTCACCCTTTTACATGCCATTACGTCATTAAAGACTCTCTCCAATGCTACATGTTTTTTTCTCTTTTCACAATCGTGAAAAACAAAATATATTTATTTATCGTCCCCACCTCGACCCCAGGCTGCCGGTGGCCTTTGCGTACTTCTCCTTGCATAACATGTGGACATAAAATGGTGTAACTTCCCACAAAAGAAACATTGGACAGAACCGTTACTTCTCGTGCCCAGACTTCTGTGTGGGCCCATAGCAGACCCACGCTGGGAAAATCCCAGAGATGGTCCTCCCCTGCTCATAGCCTTTTCAACTATCGCAACTGCCTAGTAAACCTTGGTGTGGTCTTTGTCTCTCAGTAAGCGTAGCCCCAGAGCCCCGAAATGCTACCTGGGGTGGGAGATCCACCTTTGCTATACGTTGTTTGATACACTAGACGGTGAAACTTGCACTTCTCCTCCTGATTATCCCGAAATATCTTTTGGAGAGTCTCTAAGATGTCAATGGCCTCATATTTGTTGAACTCAGAGAGTGGTCGTGTCAGGTTTTTTTTACCATGAGTCCCTCTGACGACTTCCAGAATGACGCGAAGCCCCTGTTAAAGATCTACGATAACAACTAAAACAAAACAGAACTCGATGTGCGGTATCACCCCAAATTTTTATACGTTACTATTGTTGTTGTTGTTTGCTTATTTGCTTACTTTTTTTCTAATGCCGAACTCTTACCCCAATTCTTGTCTTTATTCAATGGCGAACTCTCGCCTCAATTATTGAATTCATTCGATGTCAAACTCGCGCCCCAACCTATCTGTTTTTTTTTTAATCGGTGAACTCTCGCCCTAATTCTTGTATTTATTCATTTTCTTTAATGGCGAACTCTAAATACTAAACTCGGTTACCTCCTCAAAAGGTCGTTCTTTTATTTGCATTTCAGTAATAGACAAATTAACCTACTCGTCCAAGCACCTTGACAGCCGTAATATTTACCAGTGACACCTGTGACGGTGTTACGGGTTAAGGGTTCCGTTGAGAAACCAGAAGTTGAAGTTTGATTGGAATTCTAAGAGTCACCTACTGCAACAAGGGATCACATGCCCACCCCTGGGTTATATTTCACCCCCTGAGCATAATTTTCTTTTACTCAAACCTTGCTACATGAACACAACCTATCACGGCAGCAAAGAGGATTTGCTCCCTCCATACAACATTCGGGCTTTGAAACTGGCTTGCGCATGCGTATTGCAATTTCATGTGATCCCTTGTTGCTGTTGGTGGCTCAAACTCATCCTGCCGGTAAGTCTCGTTTAATTTTCTACTTTTGTCCACAGAATTCCTCTACTGTCGAGGATAAATTCGTTTTTACTAGCGAGGAACGAGCAAGGCGTCATTCTAAGTGTTAACAATAACTGATCAAATATGAAAGAACTGCGCCCTCGTGGCCGACTTTCAGAATATTCAAGTCGGATTTTTCGTTCCTTTCCGATCAAGTTAGACGTTCAGGAACTCAAAATGAAAAGGGAAAATGCTATAGAATACTCTGCTTGGAAGATAATGAATTTGAAAGCGACAGAATAAGCTTTGAGTCAACGACACTACGATTTTCTGAAGCGAGGCGTATTGTGGCCGTAGAATGATAACAGAACTTTTGGACTTCAAGCGAGGCCTAGCAACAATTTGAAGATTCCAAGGCCCGGTAAATATTATTTTTGAGTAATGATATGTGCAAAAAGTGTTGTTTTATAGAAGATTTTTAATCTAAACGTTGAACTTTCAGAATTTTCTGCATAACGCTGCGCAATATTGTGGTCGTGAAGGAAAGTAAACAACCATCTTAGCGTTATGAATTCTACTACATGGCTTTCGTAGTTGGTAGAAACCCGATCGTTTTTCACCTCTAACAAGAAATCAAGAACTTTTGTATGAAGCTTTCATCCCAAAATATTTCTTGGTTACTTTCGTCTTGTTTCATTTTCATATATTGCACTTGACATAAGATCTTCCACGCATTGATAAATTTGCAAAATACTTTGACCTGTTTGCACGCGTGTGAAAAATTCACCGATTTTCATCTCCCATTCTCTATCATTTTTTCTCCATTCTTCTTTTCTCCTGTTAACAATTTCTCCTGTTAACCATTTCTATTCTTTACCTTCCATTTTCTAAATTCCATTCTTCAATTTTCCATTTTCTATTCCACCTCCCTATTATTCATTTCCCGTTCCCAATATTTCATTATCCATTCTTTGTGTTAGTGATCGACTTCTACCCTTGCATCTGTCCGTCGTTACTCAAAAGCCTTGAGTTGTGAAAACCGAAAATTAACAGGCAGCCTGAAACGAAAAATTTGCAATTTTACGCTTTGAATTACTTTCCGGCTTTTTTTGTAAAAAAAAATGACTCAGACCAGCTCTCATTGGCTCATTTCGCTGTTACATTTTCTTAGATTCGGGGCATTTGGAGAAGTTCAAGTTACATTCTATACAACCATGGGCGCTCCAGAGAGCAAACCAGGTAAATGTTTAATACTCCTCCTACGAAGGCTTTGAAAACATGTACAGTATACACATTCCACTGAGCCATGCAAATGCAGTGACTGAATCAGTTAAGTTCAGGTTGGATAAAAGTGTATGAAAAGCGTCTGGTAGATACACCCAGCTAATGGTCTGCTGATACTCAAGTATATAGCTCACCCATTTTATTTTTGGTCATTCTATTGACTACTTTACGTCACGTGGTATAAGATCGCCGTTATCACGGAATAACCCCCATTTGCGTCGGAGGGATACTTGTCCTTCGATTATTTGCGTAAAAAAACAAAACTAAACAAAACAAAAACAAATCCAGCTAAGAAAAAAAAAAAGCTAGCTCGAGAGTTTCTCGTAGGAAAACGTTTTCTTTGTATAGAGTCCAGTGATAGTCACCTTGAAAAAGCGATCTTAAACGCTGCTTCGTATAGTACTAAAACAGTTAGCAAAATTTGCTGTCAACACGCGATACGAAAGTTAATGGAAGGGTTATAAAGTAAATAAACCCCCTTTTGTCTTGCTGGGTTTGCTAGTATGTTGGCCAATTATTTCCTTGGCTGAGAGATTGTCTTCTGGGCCGCAGTCAATATCAGCCGACATACTGGCCGCCAGAAAGAGTTTATTTACTAAATATTTCCGACATAGTCGTTACCTTAAATAACTTCGAAACAGTTCCGCTGATTAGTCGTATCAATCTTGCTTGTAGGAATGTAAACTACCGCATGGCTCTATGCAAGTGAAGGTACTACGTACGAAAAAAACATTTGGTTGAAATACATTACAAAACTTTTTTTCTTTTTTTTTCTCCCGCATTACTAGCGCGCGTACCCAGGACATTGCACGTATATGTGACCAACCAAACCGAAGGTGTCGAACAGATATTCATACGAGTCCAGGGCGACAAACTAACGGAAAGAGAGATATATAATCATATCGTTGGACTTAAAGCTCAAGGACAGGGGGATCAGAGTGGCGGTAGGGTTGGACAGAATCACCATGACAAACACATGAAAGGGGCGAGGGAGTGGCGAACTTACAACAATTCGCCCCAAGGTGGTTTCATCTATCTTCCCCATCGCGAGACCATGCCATTTCCAGCTGAAAATGATGGTCATATAATGTTTGTCTCAGTACACGACGGGAACAAGGTGTGGAGCACAAATATGCCCGTGGATCCTACAAATTATGGTTGTATCACGATCAAAGGTGACAGAAAGGGAATTAGCGTGAGCCCATCCAATCCCAAGCCCCGCTGGATCAAATTTAAAGAAAGAGCTCCTTCATTTCCCAGAGCCGATTTGGTTGAGGTTAATCGTGGACCAGACGAAAACCCTGTTTATTTTGGCACAATCTGGAAAAATAACATCATCGATGAGATTTGTGAAGTAAGCAAAACTGATATAAAAAAAAATAATTATTATCAATGGTCAGGTTTTCCATCCCTTCTTTCCGCAACAGGGTACGAGTGGGTCAAGGTACAACGTGGCAACCTCATTCCAGTTAACGCAGTCAGTGTCAGCGTCGGGGATGGCTTTCGTCGGGTATTTCTCGGGCACGTCAATGGAGACAGGGCTTGTGGAATAACAGACGTGGATCGCATGCTTGACCAATTCGTTTCCTTGAATGATAATTCTAAGATGAATAACATCGCCACGTCGGGGGAAGTTCTCTTGTTGACTGCAGAACCAATGAGCTGAAGCGCTGAAGCGGTCCTGATTAACAAGTCGAATGGGACCATATATATACTTGCCAATATTAAAATTGTTTTCGGGTTTATCACCTAGAAACGTTTCAAAAGTGCTCCGATTGAGATGCTAAGTTCAGCATCACAAAGTCAAACTAAACAATTTCTTTCTGTTATTCTTTTAAGTTTCTTTGTTGTAGCTTGCTCTCTTTGAACACTGCTTCGTTCCATCGACCGGCCAATTGTTTTGTTTCCGGCTAACCTTGTCCTATTTGCTTAATACGAGGGAAAACATTGAAAGAAAGAAACATTAAAAACGGAAACAAATCACAAACCGGAATTTGTTGTGACACGTTAACCACTGTATAGTTGATTCCCTGCTTTCGATCGTCAGAGAATTCTGTTGCTTTGGTTGATTGGTGAGATGTTGCAGATGTAGTTTCTCAGTATGTCACGAGAACCTATCGTTCCACAGGAACCTTATATCGAATTGATTAGTTTATAAATTGATACTTAAAATAGAGCTATTGTTATTTTGAACACATAAGCATTGTGTAACTTTGATAACCACTTTTGATGTAAAAAGTCCTTGAAATAAGTAGAGCTGTTCACCAGCATATTTCAAATAAAAGGGCACAGCCTAAAGATTCTGAGGAGTTTAAATCAAAATACTGCCTTCATAAAGGCCACTCAGTGGTAAAAAGAGAATCAACTGAACTGAAGTTCAATTTGCGTTGGGTGTTAATTCAAACTTTTATTGTTTGTTCTGCGGTTTTGTTAGAACAACGTATTTTGTCATAGCTTACGCATTTTGTAATAACGGAGACCGAGAGATAATGGGACAACAAGTCTTTCATGACTCACTCCTGGTGCTGTATAATTTAAGATTGTTCTGGTTACAATTGTGATAATAACCGAGTCAGGTTATATTACATTCTGTTGTCGCCATTAAAGTTTTACTCCCCGAGTCTAGAAAGGGTGGAGACCAAATTAATACAATTTTCCTTTAATTGTTTTTCACCTTACTTTCATTTTTCCCTTATATTCATTTATTTATTTATTGCTTCCGGTCTTTCATACCTTAGCTATCGTTAATGACCGTTTTGGCATTCTCATTTTGAACAAATTGATCACCGGTTTTGCCTTGAGATTTTCAACAGAGACAGCCCAAGTTAACAAAAGTGTCTTATTTGGTTTTTGTTCAGTATGCTTGAAATGCGCACACTGAATTGTGGGCCATGAAAGCCATTCCCGATACTACAGGCCCATTCTTCCTTCCCGCGTTCAAATTTGATTGTTTCATTTATCACTAGAGCGAAACTCGTCAACGTGAAGGCTTGAATCGAAAAACTGAAAAAACAAGAAAAAAAAAAGCAAACAGCTGAAACAGACAGTTTGCATATTTCGCTTTCAATTACGGATGACTGCTTTCTTCTGCGTAAAAGTTTGCGTGACCGCCTGAACAAACCATGGTCCATTCGGAAAGCCGAAATAGTGTAGGCAGTTCGGATTTCGGAAACACCGCAAAACTCTGGAACAAAATTGTTTCTTTCAAATCGGCACTCTTAATTCCCAACGGTATCAACGAATGCCTTTCATTCAATTAATTTATTCTTCACCGAGGATAGCGTAGCTCCATTAAGCCACACTAAACTCACAATTCCTCTATTCACTCTGACGATGAAATAACGCTCGAAACGTCAGCTTCAGAAACGCTTTACGGTGGTCAATTTACACAATCGAAATCGGTTGATAAATCTAATTTTTTTGTTATACACCCACCGACGTAGCACCAAAGTTCCTTAGAATGTTACACCTTTATTCCGTTATTTAATATTCATTCCGCCTAAAGCCTAACTGAACGCAAAATTTGGAGGGAGGTTGAAAATTTTCATTTCCCAAGATGTTAAACATGTTTGATATGTACAGAGACTAGTTCTTAACACGTTAATAATTGTTTTCATTATCTATTGACCATTCATAGGCTGCGTAATTTATAGAATCTGAAGTAACCAATAGTGTTTCATTTTCTTTGCAAACTTCCTGTTTCACCTATAACCTGTCATCCGGGAACTTTGACAACACCCAGTTTATCGGGTTCTCCATAGTACGAATTGAGTTTTGCTGTACCACTAAGTGCTAATCTCTGCAATCGAGTGAGCGACCAGGTTGGAGTAAGTTGTTGTAATTTCTAAGATAAATTTCTTGTCATCTTTCTACCAACTACAACCGACCTTTTTATCTCTCTTAGCTTGTTCCCCAAGGCAAACCTTCAAACTTTTCGGCATGATAATTAAGTACTGTTTCATTCAAATTTCCCTCATCTGAATCCCTCGACAGTCTTTTGTGACTTATCGATTACTAGAAAGTTTAAAGTCAATTTGGTCAATAAATTAATGCTAGTGAATCAACTACCTCTTAGTTTGATTATCAAATATTTTTCGACTGAAGTTTCAGAGCCGTTTCAAGAACATGAAGAGGAGTATGCAAATTTGAGCTGTAGTCTTAATTGCTTTCGTTCTCTAAACTTTCAGTTTAATTTTTTTCGACACTAGATAGTTGATAGTCTACTTTTCTTTATTCCTAGGTACACATGCACAGTAATAGCTTAACTCCGCTGATAAAAGCTTAACTTAAATATCGGCACTGATTGAATGATAGCATACGTGTGTGGTGATGCATACGCTCAAGCACTGTTACGAACATTTGTTATAAACAGAGTGACTAAAAATAATTACTATCCAACTACAGTCCATAGAGTACAAACAACGCCTAAGAAGATTACGAAATACCGCCTCCCGGTTAGCTCAACGGATAGAGCGCTGGACTGTAGTGCGGCAGGTCGAGGGTTCGAGCCCCGGCCGGACCAACACTCAAGGTCTTAAAATAATTGAGAAGAATTTGCTACCTTTCTATAAGATCAAGAAATCGTTAGATATTCTAGTATTCTCGGATAGGGACGAATAAATGGAGGTCCCGTCTCCTGTAGGGTTGGGGCAGGAGACGTTAATTTCCCACACACGAGATTACTATGTGATGGAAGTCCTCCCATGGGGTGGGATG